GCCTCTAGATCCATAAAGTTATCAGCCTTGCCTAGAATAAGCCTTCCCTCAAGTGTGAGACTTCATTGCAAGCTTGGATTTGTCATTTAAGGGCCTTAAAGCTTTGCATGCACGTAAAGTTTTCAACTTTACGTGATAAGCAGGCCTTGGAAGGTTGGATCTGTATTCTGGAACCTTTGCATGGCTTAAAAAGCATCTGTATGGATGAAGGATTGAAGGGACTCGGCGAGCCGCAAAGTCGACTCGGCGAGTCATAAGGAGATGATCCTGAACTCGCTGAGTTGGATGAACAACTCGGTGAGTCCGATGAAGATTGTCATAGATTCGGCGAGTCAGTAGAATGACTCGGCGAGTCGGTTAAGGATCTTACCAACAGTTGGGTGCGTGTGAACTTGTTGAGTTGCAAAGGGAAAAACTCGACGAGTGGTCAAGGAGTTTCGATCGCGAGCCTTAGGAACTCGACGAGTCACTTCGGTGACTCGGCGAACGGATGGTTATGCCGGGAACTCGACGAGTGGCTGGATACACTCGACGAGTTCAGGTCAACATGGACTGTTTACAGCGGGTTTTATAGAAAACCGGGCTTTGCTTGGAGCAGCGTTTCCGAACCGAAAGACCCTTTTCTCTCGGGACTCCGGGAGCCTCGGGGCTTCCTTCGGGTGCTAGGGGGTTTACCTAGACTTAGGAGGGGGTTAGGGATCTTAGAGAGAGAAAGAAGTTAGACAGAGAAATGGAAAATGAGCGAAGAAGTCGGCTGCCTTCGCTGCCTTTTTATAGCCTGCGAGGCCTCAGAGTACGCTGAGCGTACTTCAGACCTACGCCGGGCGTAATCTCGAATAATATCAACACGCGTCGCTTCGCTGCTGGGTCATCGTGGCATGCTCCAGAACCGCGCAACCGAAGACCGCTGGGCGTAACCCTCTCCGGACACGGGGCGTTCCTCGGCTAGGCTGGGCGTATGCGAGACCAGGTGTCCTTATCGGATGCGAGACCGTGGGGAGCAAGGGAAGGCTGGGATCGTGCCACATCATCTTATCTCACAGATTCACATCCCGACTTCTAAAATTCATAACTTTCGCATACGAGCTCCGTTTTCAACGTTCTTTATATCCACGCGTAGGCGGGAACGTACTCTACAACTTTCGTTTAGACTCCGTCGGCTAGTTTTGACTTTATTTTAAATTTATATTTTTAACAGGCCGGGACATGATTGGTCCGTTAGAAATTCATAACTTCTTCATTCGACATCCGTTTTTGTCTGTCTTTTTATCGTTACGTTACTATTAACGAGATATTCGATTCTCGGTTAGGTTGTGTCTGCTAAAAACTGATCGATCTAATATTCGAACTTCGGGCTGTACACTGCTAAGCCGAAACTTCGAAAAATCATAACTTCCTCATACGAAGTCAGATTCGGGCGTTCTTTTTTATGGACGCTCTCGGTTTAACGTTTTCTACGACTTTCGTGTAGATCACTAAGGCTAAAAGTCGCTCTATCGTAAATTCACTATTTACACTTCCCGGTGCCGTGCCGGTTCCGTCGCGAAACTTCGACGGATCATAACTTCTTCGTTATAACTCGGATTTCGGCGTTCTTTATATCCCCGGAATCGTTGTTTCGACCACTACAACTTTATGTAGAGATGTCGGGTTTATCTCACACTTTAATTTTGACGCTTATTTTTATCCTTTATTTATTACACATTTATAAATAAGTAATAAGCATATAAATTCACATAATTCACATAATACTCAAATATTTCATCTTTATTACATCAAAAAGAGTTACAATAGTTGACCTAGACTATTACATCATCTACTACTGCTTAGCCCTGAAACACGGGCGTTACATCAATACTCTACTCCCAAATATCGGCTCAACCGAAATCCTAAATGTTAAAACATTATTGATTAATATTTTCCCCAAAATGTCATTGGTCAAACTCGGTCAACGGTCAGAAGTCAAGTCAACACCTAGCCGAGTCAACCCAGCCGAGCCAACCCGACCGAGTCGACCCAGCCGAGTCGACCCAGCCGAGTACGCTGGGCTTACTCTTCTATACGCGGGGCATACTCGGTGTTTTACCAGCTTATGGGATGTTGGCCGTGTACGCGCAGCGTACCACTTGGTACACGCAACATACGCGCCCTGTTCAACCCTTTCCCCATTAAGAGCTTAATACTCCAAATCTTTACGTCCAAAGTTAGATCCAAAGCCAAAATACCCTCAAGAGTCATAAAGTTTACAACTTTATGACTTTGCATGTCCATTAAGTGCTTAAAACACAAAATCTCAACATCTTAATGCATTAAGACCTTCTATAGCATGCATGGAGAAAAACTAACCATCAAGACTACATTTTTATGACTTAAGACCTCTCTTAAGATCTGAAAGGACGACTTATTGGGTCAAGAAGATGCCATACTCAAGAATCACCATATTTGGGACAAAAAGTGTCTTAAAGGAAGAAATGTCTAGATCTACAAGATGAAGTGATCAAGTTGTAAACTTTATACCTTCTGGTGGTTGCTAACAATAAGGAAATCTCAGATCCAAGATGCTTCCAATCTCCAAGCTATTCTCACCGCCTTCTTATTCTTCTTCAAGAACACCTCCAAAACACTCCAATGGGCTCAAATAGCACTCTTCTCACTTAAGGTTTGCTTGGGCTCGTTTTTTACAGAGGGGGCCGATGAAGAAATGAGACATGAGGCTAAATGAGGTTTATATATGGACTAAACCCTAAAAAATAGGGTTTTCACTTTCTTCACGTACGCCTCACGTACGAGGTGTACGCCCAACATACTAGGGCGCGCCCTAGTACGCCTAGCGTATACAACGTATGCTCAGCGTACTACACCTGGACGAAATTACCATATTGCCACTATGGGCCATTTTACAATCCATTTCAATCCCAATGGCTAAAATACAATATTATTCAAACATATGGTTGAAATTGAAATTACCTTGACATTGGGATGTTACAGTAGGGCCGTGTGGCTGATTTCGCGTGCAAACCAAGCGCGCCACGCCGCGCGTGACGATTTTCAATACTTAGAAATTACGTATCTCCTTCATACGAGCTCTATTTATGATGTTCTTTATATCATCGGAAAGCTCTTGACGAGATCTACAACTTTCCTTTAGACCTCAAAATCTAATACTTACTTCATATAAAATTTATATTTTTGATAGGCTTAGCCTGCTAGAGTTCGCTGCAGGAAGCATAACTCCTACATACGGGTTCCGTCCTCGATGTTCCTTATATCGATGGACTTCCATTGACGAGATCTTCGATTCTCGTTTAGATTATTTGGCCTAATAATTCACCTTTCCAAAAGTCGATTTTTTTTGTGCGCACACTACTACGTTGAAACTTAGAAAAAATCATAACTTCCTCTCTTGAAGTCAGATTTGGACGTTCTAAATACGTACGAGTTGGATTTTACGAGTACTACAACTTTCTTTAAAATTACTATGGCTAATGAGTTAGCTAACTGAATTTCGAATTTCTATTAATCACGAATTTACCGAAATAATAAAATGGGGTGTTACACTCCTAGATTAATTATTCAAGTTCAACAGATTTAAAAAAATATTTAATCTAGAGATAAATCCTAAAACTCAAAATTATAGGCTAAAACTCGAAACATTAAAATCTGGCTAGGGCGCGGCACGTGCAGCCATGGGTGTGTTGCGTCATGGTATTAATAGGTTCTTTGATTTTTCTTAGTTTTTTCAAGTAGTACTCATAACTAAAACCTAATGGCTCTGATACCACTAATAGGTTTTCCATGCATCTATACACTAATATCTGCCAATGGAAGCAATGAAAATAACCTTAAGTATACATGAAACCTAGGATATACGTTTTACTACTGATAACAACCTACTTTCAAAACTATGAATTTAAACTACCAAGAGAGATAGGATTACTAAACTTAATGTAAAATCGCATTTACTTATGATTCTCTAGAAGATGTTGAAGTTCTGATTACTTCTGGGTATTGGGTAGCATTTGATCAAGGGTGTGTGTGTGTGTGTGAGGGGAATGGATAGTAGAACTCATGGGGTTAAGGGTTAAGAGCTTAATTCATTAAACTGTGAGAGCTTACTTCCTATGGCGTGACAGTTTGCTCGCCACGACGTGGAGACTGGTGTCACCATGACTGTTTTGTCGTGTAGCTGCCAAGACGTGGCCTATGGGTGGCCACGACGTGGAAGGTCAGCTGCGGCTGACTTTGACCATTGAATTTTTTGATGTGTTTGACTTTTGGTCAAAGTTGGAGAGGTGGTGAGCTGTAGTCTGAGGTTTAGCTTGCCATTAGTTTAGGAGGTTCGTGTACCCGATTCTATGAGAATTGGAGAAGTGGATTTAAGCTCTTCGTTTAGGTGAGTCTTCTCATTGTATTACCTATGTCATAATGGTGTGCATGCTAGACTAGTTGAGTCTTATTTGCTGATTGTTGTGATGTGTATTTATTGAGTTGCTGATAACTCCAATACTGCTGATAGTCTACAGGGTTGCTGATAACCTATATGACTACTGTGAGCCCATAAGATTGCTGGTAGTCCACATGACCGTTGATAGTCCCGAGGTTACTGATAATGCATAGTTGTTTATATTGTTGTGTTGGTATTTAGGACTGCTGATAGGCATAAGGTTGCTGATAACCCATAACCGTTTATTATGTTGTGCTGTATGTGATCTTTTGAGGGAATTCACTAAGCTTCGTGCTTGCATACTCATCGACAGTTTTTGAATTTCCGCATTATTATGATATTCTGATTTTTAGGATGACTGTATTTGATACTCATGTTTTTCTTGACTGAGTTTTATGGAAACAATGTTTTTATTTAATTTAAAAATAAAAAATTTAATTGTGAAAATGAGATGTTTCAAAAACCACACAAAATATTCAAAATTAGACTAAAATAATATATTTTTGACAACTATTTATGCAATTTTGTCAAAAAAAATTAATTTAATTTTCAAACATTCGCGAGCTCAAGTCGAAATTACGTTCGGGGTATCGGTGTTCATCCGATCTATCGGAAATAGAATTAGGGTTTTAAGGTTAGCCCCAAATTGAATAAAAACCTTCTAAGTCTTCTTCTCTCGTGCGTAATAAGTAGCATCCAGCCATAATCCAAGACTTCAGCACCAATTTACATCCAGTCTCGATTTTAATTGACTGAGAAATACCACCTGGTTCGTTAAGCCCTAATTAGTTCCAAGCAATGGCTCAGCCCAACAATGTAAGCTTCCCCCTCCCTTCATTTAATCAGATTCTGTCAGGGTTTGCAAAATCACAGATTGGATTAGTTTATTCTATTGTTTGGTTTGTTTTAACAATAGTTTCAATCACTGTATGTAGACTGCTGGAGTTGATAACACTTTCAGAAGGAAATTCGACAAAGAAGAGTATCTGCAACGCGCTCGTGAGCGTGAAGAAAAGGTTCTCAATTCACTGCTTGCTGATTTTGTTAGCTTTTGCGCATTTCCATTTTGATTTCTTCTGATGGTTTGTTCTCTTCATTTGTAATTCAGGAGTTGGAAGGCCGTTCTAAATGTAAGTAAAAGAGTTCATTTTCTCTCACCTGTTCTCCCAGAAAGAATACATACTTTTGATCGCTTTAGGGCTTACACATTAAACTTGATTAAGAAGAGAGTTCTATTATGAGATAAAACATAAAGCTGGCGTGTTTGTGCATATTTGTTTCGTTTTCAGTTTTGGATCTGAACAGAAAAATACTCCCCTTTCCCACATTCTTGTTTTGCACATTGCAACCTAACTATCTTAGTGTCTTCCATATTGGTCTATGCATGCATACAAACTATTTTTGTCTAATCAAGATTTTTGAGAAGATACAATCAAACTTTGATTGCAGCAAAAGGTCCTCCAGTGCAAAGGAAACCCTTGAAGCATAGAGATTATGAAGTGGACCTCAACTCTCGCTTGGGGAAGACTCAGGTTAGCCCTTTCAAATTTTGCCCATATAATTATATTTATACGTGGGTGGTTTGTGAGTCACCCAGAAATTGTGGTTCTGATTTAATGAGGCACCCAAGATTTCAATAATGATACTTAAGTGTGTTTTTGACTTTTTGTATCGTTGATCTTACAAGTTTATGGCCTTTAACAAGTAAGATCAATATGTGTTCAATTCCCTTCCAAAGGAAAAACATATGGATTAAAATATCATGGATATGAAATAAGAGCTAGTGATACTTGGTTATTTTAGGATTGATTGTTTTATTAACTTTAGCTCGTATGCTTTTTGTTAAGAATATGGGGGCCCACCAACAGCAGGAAACAAGAACTACATTAATTTAAGCAACTAGTGCAGAAAAGAATGAATTGACAACCAACAGCCATAATTTAAACCTCACCTTTTGATGTGTTGGAGTAGACCGATATTGATGTGTATTCCAGCTTTACAACAAGGCGTGACGCCACCATTTATCTGTGTGGTGATTCAAGAACTTGTGTTCTCTTTTTTCATTGTTATTATCCACTTTTCTTGACTCATTTATATCCTGACACATCTATTTACGTATTTGTATATAGTATACATGTACATTTATTCCATGTGACAAGATTAAAACCCTTCAAACTCTCACCTTGAAAGTTGTGGTCACTCCCGATTTTCATGCTTTAATGAAGCTTGTTAAAAGTTATAATAGAGTTTTTTTGGTTCTTACTGAACATTTTAATCTGACTCATTCATGCCTCTCTTCTTTGATAGGTTGTCACTCCAATTGCACCCCTTAGCCAGCAGGTAAATTTGTAAACTTTATAATCAATCATGCATTCTGTTACCCTTTTTTTGTGTTGAATTTACGAAAATTGAATTCTAATAAAATGGTTGTAGAGTTCAAAGTATGATGAAAATTGATGGGTATGTTAAGATTTAATTGATTCAATGCAGGCTGGATACTTCTGCTCTGTTTGTGAATGTGTAGTGAAAGACTCTGCAAACTATTTGGACCATATCAATGGGAAGAAACGTAAGTAGTTACTCATATGTAAAGATATTATTATTATTTATGATTTATAATTTACTTTCTTTTTATATATTTGTATTGTTATTTTGCTACAGATCAAAGAGCCTTGGGAATGTCTATGCGTGTAGAACGTGCATCTCTTGAACAGGTACAAATCCACACATGCATTGAGCCTAACATAAAAATACCTGAGCAAATAGTTAAAAGGAAAACTTGCATATATATAATTGAAGCAGTTTCAGGTAGCACATTTGGTTCTCTTGATAACTTGATTCAGTGAGAGTGGCTTATTGCTAAATAATCACCAAATTGTTGGAAATGTAAAAGTTAAAATTTTAGGAAAATATGGGTTTTTGAGGCACATTTTTTTATTGGAAAAACACAGGTTCAGCAGCGATTTGAAAACCTGAAGAAGCGAAAAGATCCTGGAACCTTCACTGAGCAAGGTATGAATAAATTGGATCATGAATTAGTAACAAATGTAAATGAGAAAAGGTGATGAAAGAAAGGGATAGGGATGGATTCAGTCAGTGCAAAAGACGTAAATACCCTCCCTAGACCCATTTGGTGAATACTTGGTAGCTGATGTTGTTATATAAAAAACAGATCTTGATGACCGGATCTTAAAGCAACAGCAAGAAGAGGAGGAAAAGAAGCGTCAAAGGCGAGAAAGGAAAAAGGAAAAGAAGGTAATATAATTTTCACCAACATTTGTGGCCTCACTTAATAAAGTTATATAATAATGATAATAGTAAATAGTAATGCAGGAAGGATGTGTTGTGTTGTTTTTGTTGAACAGAAAGAGAAGGCAGTAGAGGAGGAAATCGAGGTGGACCCTGATGTTGCAGCTATGATGGGATTTGGAGGTTTTGGTTCTTCCAAAAAGTAAAACAAGACTGACTATACTTGTTTAAGTTCTTAATCACAACTGCATCAACAAGTTGATCTGTAAGTTTTATATTGTACAATCATCTTATGCCTTATACAAAGCACCAGAACATGTTCCCTACATGCGTCTTTGCCAATATTCTTTATTGTTATTATTATTTTTATTTTTTTTTCATAAACTTACTAAGCAGCTTCAAAGCATACATACTAAAAAAACTCACTAAACAGTTAATTTATTATAAAACAACAAATGTAATAACTGGGGGTGAACATAGTACACGGACAATCAGAACCGACCCGGTTTTACTCCAGCGGTTCCTCAGCATGCCAATACAATACCAGACCGGTTCGGCCCATCAAAAGCTTGTTAAAATACCATAACTGGACCGGAATTAGGAGTCTTAATCTATCAAATATTTATGCAAATCTTTATTCTAATTGAAAGCGACAACTACTCCTAGGGATGAGCTTTTGAACTGGACTGGAACCGAACCGGTTTTGAACCAAGACCGAGTTGGGCAATTTGGAACCGGTTCTGAGCAATATACTTTGAAATAGGGACATCAGTGATAGTGATGCGGCTGGTGTTAGTTTGCATACTTTGAATAACAATGTACTCTGAAATAGAGACATTAGATTGTGTTAGTTTTGTCCTATGAGATGGTTTTCACTTTGAATAACAATGTACTTTGTCCAACCATCATAGACTTTTAGAAATATTAAGAAAGCTCGACTTAAATTATATGTTGTTATAGGTCAGAGAAGGTACAATAAATATTTTAGAAATATTAAGAAAGCTAACTTAAATTATATGTGTTGTTAGAGTGGAGAAGATACATTTTTTAGCTACATCAACCTTGCCATCTATTCACATTAATTTATGCCATCCGTTCCCTCATTGGATGTTTTCCCCTAATATGGAATCCATAACTTAAAATAGCAACATACTACAAAATGTCATAGTTTGATACAGTTCAACCAATCTAAATAGTTTAATACAAATGCAACAAATCCTAATAGTTTAATACAATTCAAGTTTCAACCAAAGTAATTATCATTTATCTCCGCTGCCTTCATCCCATTGCCTAGTCATCAACTTTGTTTAAAGCTTCTTCAATCTCTATATAAAGCACAAAACAAAAAAGTTATTAGCATTTAATAAAATGTAAAAATCGTGTCAAAATAAAACAGAATTAAAATAAAATTACCCAAAGCTACATCGTCATTTAAAATGTAACCTACGATTTCTATTATAAAATTTGTACTCTTTCTAACCTAATTTTGGGTATACAACAAAGCTTGCGCTGTCATCGTTGACAAGTTAGTACGATAGTCGGTTAAAACTATACGATACGAGTAGTGCTACACGTGGACTCATATGCCATGATTGAGATTTGTATCCCAAAATGTATAAAGTGAAACAACATTAATTAAAGAAATATGAAATATTAAAAAAAGAAATCGATATCTTTTGCAATCTGAGGTTGAGATTTGTATCCCCAAAATGTATAAAATGAAACAACATTAATTAAAGAAATATGAAATCTTAAAAAAAAGTCAATACCTTTTGCCATTCCAGCAACTATTGGGAACCGTAACCCATTAAGTTTCCACCAATCAAAGAAATCAACATTTTTGTTGTACTTTACTGACGGTTCTTTCAAATAATTTCTTAATTTATTGTCCATCGCATTCGAATTACCACATTCCACATTAAGGAAGTTGCCAAGAAAGTCGTTATTATCATCATCAACCACTTGTTAAGAACTTTCTTGTTGAGAAGACCCATCCTTCTCGTATTTTTCCATGTATATCTTAAATTTTTTCTCAATCTTCATCACCTAATGAAGTATTTGAAGTGTTTTTAAGTCTATGGTCAATTTGACAAATTATCACCCTTATAACCAATATTGTTTTGAAAAAATATATTATAATAATCTGGATTTCATGGTAGGATCTAGCAAAAACCGCAAAATACACAAAATCACTCATCTCTTCGTAGTCACCCTAACATCTGTCGGATTTTTTTCTCCACTTCGCTTATAAAATGAGCAGAGTCAACTTTGATTGACCATTTTCTTAGATGTAAGCTCTATGTCTAAGATTTCCTAGGTAAAGATACAACTTTGATTGACCATTTTCTTAGATGTAAGCTCTACGTCTAAGATTTCCTAAGTAAAGAGATGGACTAAAAGTCTTGTTGAAGGCGAAACGTTCTCCGTTTTAAATCCACTATTTTAAATCCAATTGGAACTCCCGTACTCTTTCTAGATCCTTCTAATACTATTTTTCTATCAAAATTTAATAATAAAAAATAATTAAAGTTTTATATATAAAATGATAAGATTTATTATATAAGAGCTAATAATGTTATTGATATATTTAAAAAATATATATTTATAAAAATTTCAAATATATTATTGTATTTTGTAAGCGTGGGTTCGTCTAGTTTTAGATAAAAAACATTTTTGGAGTGTATTAGGAAGTTTATTTTTTCTTGACTTTCTTGACCAAAGGGCTTCTAGCCCAACGGTACCCGGTGTTGTCCTTCCCTTTGAGGTCGAGGGTTCAAGTCCCACCGTGGACATAGGTGTAATAACTTAGGAATAGTTTAGTATATATTTGTATTTGCGTTCCAAAAATAAAATAAAAGAAGCTAAAAAAAAAATAAAAAATTAACGTTCGGCAATTATAAGGTTTTCTCCAGGCAGATCACCTTCTAAGAAATTGATAACGGAAAATGGAAATAACCGCAATTAATCAACTAGATATCATTTGTCCAAGCTAGAAAATACGTATACTGCATGTATACATAATTATCAATCAGAACACAGACATGCAAATGTATATACACATTTAACAATACGTATACGGTATACCCGTTATATGCAAAGGTCCAAATCTAAACGTCCATTCATGTAAACTTTTACATACAGCTGTCAAACACTAAAAACCTGAACACCAACATAGACTACGCAAAAGACTGCAATTTATTTAGATAAGTAGTAGTAAATAGTGATCTATCCGGTGCCGGTAACGCCAGGGTCTGGCTTGTCTTGACGGCCTTGTTCTTGAGCTTCAACGGTGGCTGACACTGCATCACCGAAAATGGGGCCACCACGTCCGGCACAATCTTCCACCTTGTCTTGTAGTTTGTCAATCTGAACCTTACCCTCGTCCTCTTTCGAGTGAATATCCATTCGACTCTGGTTCTCTCCTCCCGGCACAGAATGGTATGTTGTCGCCGTCGTGCTTCCCGGCGGCAGAGTTCCTTGGGCTCCTGACATGTTGACTTCTACCTTCTTACTTTTTTGCCGTTCTTGCCAGTAGTGTTTAATTATAGTTGGAGTTGTAAGGGATAATGAACCCGTATTTGCCACGTGGTGGTTACGTGGCAGGAATATATTACACGTGCTCAACCCTTATGTGTCTTGCAATTGGGTGCTGGGATCGTGATCTGTATCTCCATATTGTTTAATATCTTTGATGCTTAACAAATTGTTAGTTTGATTTGTCAACGTCGGTGAAAGTTTGCAAGTGGATAAATTAAATATAATATATATATATATATATATATATATATATATATATATATATATATATATATGATGCATGGTCAAAATGGACCAAACTGCCCTTTTGTCATGTATTCTATTAAATATATAGAAAATTGATGATTTCGCCCTTTTATAATAGTACATTGTCTATTTTGAATTTTAAAGGGTTAATACATAAATGAAAAAAAAAAAAAATAACAAAAATACATTGCCCTTTTTGTCGTTGGAGTTTTAAAAGAATGAAAATAATACAACTTTATGTTGTAGCAGTTTTATAACATAAAAATATGATTAGATGCAAAATGGATAAAAAAAACAAAAAAAAATGAATATAAAAAAATAATGACTAACGAAAGTACATTTGCCTTTTTTCCTTGAAGTTATAAAGAAATGAAAATTAAACAACTTTTAATAACATTGCTTTTTTGGCATTTAAAGGAATTTTTGTAAATTTAAAAAAATAGAAAATTTATGATTTCACCCAGTTACAAAAGTACATTGCCTATTTTGCATTTTTACATAAAGGACAATTTGGTCCATTTTAACATAAAGGGCAATTTGGTCCATTTTGACCCATGCAGAGGAATTCTTTCATTCTTTACGAAATCCAACGACAAAAAAGGTGCATTACACTTGGTTAAAATTCAATTATTCAAACACTTAATATATCAAACAAAATAATACTACTTTTTCTATAAACATATATAAAATAAACATATTTTGAATAACATTGTTTTTTTGGCATTTAAATGAATTTTTGTAAATTAAAAAATATAGAAAATTGATGATTTCGCCCTTTTACAAAAGAACATGGACTATTTTGCATTTTCACATAAAGGGCAATTTGGTCCATTTTAACACTGATGCACGAGAATTGTTTTCATTCTTTACTAAGTCCAACGAAAAAAAGGTGCATTACACTTGGTTAAAATTCAATTATTCAATCACTTAATATATCAAAAAAATTTAATACTACTTTTTCTATAAACATATATAAAATAAAAATATTAAACAGGGATTCTTTATAAACATTACCAATCATCTTCTATTATATTAATATCCAAAAGTAGCAAACATAAACAAATGACATAAAGTTCAACCATTCACAAAACATAACACACCAATATTCTACAAAAAACTACCATCTAGCATCATAAAACAGAAATATGATAATATTTATTCAAAAACCCAAAAACCCAGATTTCCCCCATGTTGTTTCATCCACCTTGTTGTTTCCTCTAGTTCCTGAAGAGCTTCACTTGATTCTTCCTGTACTCCAAAGCTTCTTGGATTTTGTGCACATCAATCCATAACTTGAATCTGTCAAACATGTGAAGTCTAGCTTCCCAAACATTCACATTTGGATTGGAAACAACAAATTTGTACAGAAGTGTGCACAAATAACTGTCGGTGGCCATGTTCAAAGTATGTGGAAAAAAGATAGAAACAGTTGTAACAAAATGTTCAACATAAATCTCTTGAACACAAAAGGGACCATCATTTTTCACTTTTTCAACAAAATCAGAAACATCAAGATCATTCTGAAGTTTGATTAAGCCAACATCCAATGTAGCAAAAGAAACCATCGAGTAGCAGAAAGTTTTTTGGAATTCATAACCGAAAAAAGAGATTATTTTCTGAAAAACCTCAATAGAGAAATCATTTATGTTGCAGAAATCAACACAGTAAATCATTCCTCCATTGTAAGATCTATCTGGATAGTAGAAAAAGTGTCCTCCATGATTAATCTTCATTGAGAAGTAACTTGTGTTTTCAGTTCCCGATAAATAAAAATTAAAATTAGATAAAAATGAAGATTATATGATATTAAGAAAAAGAATCATACCATAGAGCTCATCTGGAAGGATATATTGTGATGAGTCACGTACAATCCAGTTAACACCATGAAAAGCTATTGAATGCAAATCGTATTAGTCTTTAGATTTATGATAACGGCAGAAGTTGTGGAGGTGTTGAATATATAAGTTGTAATTGTAGTTATTAAATATGGTTTTGTGTTGTCAATCACAATTATGGTTTCCGATAATGGCGGTTATAGGTGCTAGATAATCATATCATCTATATAATCAGTAATGAAATCTTTATCCTTTATACTAGTTTGTTATTTAGTCGATGCAATATTTGTTGTTGGAAGTATAAACATTAATAAATATATATTGGAATCGTTCAAAGAGTAGATATTATATTAATTACAATGAGAATATTCATATTATGACTAACCATATATATTTTTTCTTATTAATAATTTTATTAATTAATATTTTTTTTTGAAAAAACAAATATGAAATAGATTTTATAGGTTATTAGCTTATCATATCAAATAATGTAACCCATAATGTAATCTTTGATGTATATATTTTTATTATATATTTAATTTGATAAATTGTAATATTTAATTTTTTTTTTAAATCTTCATTTTATGTAGATTACGTATTGATTGATATATTATTTTTGAAATATAAATTAAAATTTCTACTTACTTATTTTTCTTAAGATTAATAAATATATATTGAAAGTAATTTAAACCTATGAGATTGATTTTTTTTAAATATAAATAATTGTTTTATTTTTTTGTAATTAATTGGATGTGATGGTATAGTATTTATTAATGCAATGTATTTAATTCGATGTGATATAATTTACGCCTATCATTTTTAGACATCATTTTATATTGAGCAATTAGATTTACAACAACATAAAGGATAATGAGCTTTTGTTATTTTACTTTTTATTATTTTCATTTATGTATAAATCCCTTCACATGCAAAAATAAGCAATTTACTTTACAACAACAAAAAGTATAATGAACTTTGGTTCTTTCATAACTCCAACGCACAAAAAGATAATGATCTTTCGTTATTTTACTTTGATAAAAGGGCGAAATCGTCAATTTACTATAAATTTAATAGAATACATGACAAAAAGGACATTTGCAGTTTTTTTTTATTATATACAAAGATGTATTTTTTTAATTTAATTCACTTTTTTTAAATTCATTTTTGTTTATTTTGTTTTTTTTGTCAATTTAGTATAAAACTAATATAATACATGTAAAAAAGGGAAAAAGGGCAATTTGGTCAATTTTACTACTGCATTACAAATTAAAGTTTCTACTTATTTATTTTTCTTAAGATTAATAAATATATATTGCAAGTAATTTATGTATAATTCCCTTTAAATGCTAAATAAGCAATGAACTTTTATAAAAGGGCAAAATCGTCAATTTACTATAAAATTAATAGAAAACCTGACAAAAAGGACATTTGGAAAACTCTTAAAACATAAATGATTTTTATTTCATTTTTTAATACAAAGTTGATTTTTTTTTTCAGTTTATTTTCATTTTGTCGAATTTTGATTGGTTTTTGCATTTTCGCAAGATATATACATTTTCATAACTTCTTTTACATAAAGGGATTTATACATAAATGAAGGGACTCGGCGAGTCGCAAGGTCGACTCGGCGAGTCATATGAAGATGGGCATGAACTCGACGAGTTGATGAACAACTCGGCGAGTCCGTTGAAGATTGCCTTGAACTCGGCGAGTCGTTCGAAGACTCGGCGAGTCGGCTAGGGTTTCTCCCAATTCTTGGACACGTATGAACTCGACGAATTAAAGGGGAACTCGACGAGCCAATCAAGGATTTCACGACTTCTCGAGTTCAGGAAGGACTCGACGAGTCGGTGAACTGCACTCGACGAGTCGAGTCAACATGGACTGTTGACTTTGACTGTGGACTTTGACTTTGACCAAGAGTTGACCAGTTGACTTCTGAGGGTATTCTGGTAATTTGGAGATTTATGAAAAAGGGTTTTATGGTAACTATAGGTGGTGGAGTTCGTGTTGGTGATCCGGGAGTTGAGCTTTCTAGTTTCAGACGACAGTTGCAAGTTGAGTTTTCCTCACTATACTCAAGGGTCTAAGGCACCAAGGCCGGCCCTTTGGATTATTATATGGTTATGTTATGCTAGTATGATCTGTTAGATCGGTATCCTAGAGGGTAGGATAATATTATATGATATGGGGTATGATCTGTTAGATTGACAACCTGGTAGATAGGATGGTGTTATGTGCTATGTGGTAAGATCCGTTAGATCATGTATTGTCTATAGACTGTTATGTGGTTATCTATTATATGTGCACATATTTGTTTGGCGGTTGAGGCTTATCTGCTTGGTGCGAAGGCCAATAGACCTGGGCATTCCAACCTGTAGGTTGTGGGCCGTGAGTATTCCATCCCGATGATGATTGGACTCAGAGTATGTGGGCATTCCAACCTGTTGGTTGTGGGCCTGGGGTATTCCAACCTGATGGTTGATTGGACCCATAGTGTGTTGGCAATCCAACCTGTTGGTTGTGGGCCTGGGGTATTCCAACCCGATGGTTGATTGGACCCATAGTATGCTGTTATGATTCTATGTGTATTGTTGCGGGTATGGGTATTTTGGGGGAACTCACTAAACTCTCGGGCTTACAGTTTCAGTTTATTGTTTCAGTTACCTCAGGGGATCGCGGCAAGGCGAAGGCGTGATCGTACAGCTCCTCATGTTTTGTCTATGTTTCTGGGAAAACTCTGATATTTTACATTTTGAAAACAAAGTTGTAATGATTTTTAATGGTTTGAAATGTTTTTAAAAGTTTAAATTGGTTTGAATTTTTGGGTGTAACACTTACATGAACAATCTATGGTCATATCTTCTTTATTTA